CTATCTATCTATCTATCTATCTATCTATCTATCTATCTATCTATCTAAACAGATATAATCTACATCAACAAAAGCTCTTTGGAATTTAAAGACATAAAAGAAAATCCAGGGAAGCTGAACCAGAAAGTTATAGAAAGCTGATAGGGGTTTTGGGAAGAAGGAGGGAGGAAGAGACAAGAAAGAAGGAGGGAGGAAGAGACAAGAAAGAGGAATGGAGGAAGGGAAGGAGGGAGGGCGACATGGAGACAGACTGATTTTTAAACAGGTCATTCACACAAATGAGTGACTCACAGGGCTGGTGTAAAATAGAAACACAAAACCAAGTCAAAACCATGTAATGCAGCACAGTTTCTAACATGGAAATAAAAATGTAATTTGACAATTTCAAGATCTTTATAAATAAGGGGTGCCACCTTTTAGGTTATCAGAAGAGGATAGGAACGTCTGGCTCCTCTGCTCTCATTTTTCAAAACTCTTCAAAATTAACACCTCGGTTTCATCATTCTCAACGTCCTCCACTATCATTTACATCAGCCAATATTTGAAACAGGAAATACAAAGCTCCTGTAATAATATTTTTAAAACCTCTCTAAAATGGGGACACCAGTATTAGGGCCCCAAAGTCCCCTAGGATCTAGAAACATTAAAGCACAATCTGTGCTGTCCTGGGACACAGCGCCAAATCACCCCAGCTGAGAATGACGGCAGCTAAGACAAAGAGGGAGTGCATCAAAAGTTTGATAGGATACTGGGAGAGCTCTCCCCGAGCCGTGTGCACAGCAGCCCAGGCTTCCTTTCTTAGTGCATTTACTCACAGCATAAGCGCAAAGCCATGCCTTATAAACAAAGAGCAAAAGCATTATTTTGCAGTAATAGACGCTACCTGCATGTAGCAGCTTAACAATCTCTATGCAACAGGAGACCTGAACATAATTACTTAACAGACATTTCAGACTTACAAAGTAGATGTTCAAATGTTGTTTGTCATGTACCAAAGGCAGCCTTCTCACAGTACTTATTAAAACAAGGAACAGCATAAATAAAGAAATGGTGACATGATACTTACACATTTTATCTTGTGAATTCTTCTGTGTATTGTATTCTGAACCAAGATCTGGAAACCCTCCAACATTTTCAAAACAGAACTTCTTATTAATATAGAGAAAAAGGAGCAGCATCAAGACAATAAACACCCCAACCGCTGACAAAAATCCAACTGCCTCTGGAGAGACTAGAGAAAAGAAAGTCACAGCTGTCAGCATTTTGTTTTCTCTAGGCCATGAATAAAAAGGAATTTACCAATGTACATTAGATAGATTGCTAACTAATGTCAATTACTTTTAAAATGTCATAACTTAAAATAGTTTGTAAGAAAACCGACAAAATTTAAGGATAACTTTCAATACATTAAACAACAGTCATTCAAAATTTTTCAAAATGTTTTAAATAAATATATTGAAAGAATTTAAAAAACAGTCTAAAACATAAGTAGCTAACAAATTTTAAATCCATGAAGAGTATTATAAAAATAATAGCAAAAATTAGAAAAAAAATTTTTTGAAAATTATTTTTCATGCATAAAAATTCTGAGAGCATGAACTATTATTATTGTGTCTGAAGGCTTTTCTGGACCTGTTTTTAAACCCTGGCATACCTAATTAGACATTTAAGTTTCAACCCCTCCTACCAATACACACCAGTCAAATGGGTCTAGTCTGTTCTTGAAATGAACACAGTTTTGGGTTTTACTCCTCCTCTTCCTCTTCTCTGAAATGCCCATCCCATCCCTCATATTATTTAACTCATACAATAATATCACTGAACTATCTATCAGCCAAGCACCAAGTGACTGTCCTACCTACCCCAAGCCCCCAATTTTCTGCACACCTATAATGGAGGCAGCTAGAACCCAGCATAGTACAGACTATGACTAGGAAACTACAGGATTGCAAGAACCATGAAATCTACTTAGGAGCACTAGGATATAGCACTGAGGTCAAATGTGCTTTTCTGAAAGCTATGGCTTCTGTGGCCACATCTTAGAAACTAACAGAGCTTAGACAAGTTAATACTATTCCAAGATGAAGCAAAGATATTGTGAATCCTAGAAATAGGATATGATGTTATATTCTAGAAGCAGGATGAGATTTTGGTATGAAGCACTATCAGGCTAAAATCAATTTAGTCTCAAGAGAACATCCATTACCACCCAGGGAGACCTGGACTCCCACCTCCAGCAATCTCACTGTCCTTTCAGCTCTCCATTGCCGGGCACTGTACTAGTCATCTGAGTTAAACAATGACCATGTTTTTGCATGCGTGGTACTTTACAAGTATTGTACATGTATCTCAAATCTCAAGCATTCCCTGTGAAGTGTGGCCTACTCCCTCCACTGCTTAAGTACCACCTACCATGTGATCTCCTCAGGAGTCTTTCAGCAGAGCTCACTGGCTACAAGCCAGGTCACTAACTGCTGAGTGATTAGTGCTCTTATCTGCTAGCTTTCACTATCATGAAAGTTAGGCGCAGCATAAGTAGAACAGAGTATGACATTACAGTTTGGGTCAGCTGGGTTGCAAAAGACAAAGCAGAGGTGACACTGTAAACGAGGGGCAATAACAATGGAGGATCTGGCAGCAGCAAGTACATACAGTACATATCACGTGACTAAGATCCAATGACCATTCCCATCATAAACAGATGTGTAGAGACATGAACCACATGGCCACCCCAAAACCAAAGCTGCTAGGAGCTGTGCTTTCTACCAGTGCTCAGTGTCTCTCCCACCTTCTCAACTCCTTGTCAGCTTCCCTATCCCCTATCCCCAACTTACTTCTATATTACTTTTATCTTCCTCTTTCCACTTTGTAAATCTGTAAACTGAACTTCATGGATAGTTCAACTCTAAACTAGTGAGCATAATAAAAGGCAGTAAGCTCTGTAATACAGACAGGAATATAAACTCATCTTATGGACAGAAGAAGCACCCTGTGAGGGTCAGAGAAGAGTTTGGAGTTAAGATGCACTTGAGTGTAGGTCAAAAGACTACTGAGGACTCTATAAATGGAAAAGGCAGGCAGATGGACTACCATAGCCAAAGATACAACATTCCAAAGCCACTGAAGAGTAACACTCATAGCTGTTGTATTTACTTCTCTCTCCTCTGTGTACCTAACAGCATCAGGTGGCTGAGTGTGTGTGTGTGTGTGTGTGTGTGTGTGTGTGTGTGTGTGTGTGCGCGCGCGCGCGCGCACATGTATGAATGAGTGGGAAAACATGTGCTCTGGAAAGATCAAGAATATATTATGAGAACTGAAAGTGAAGAAGAAAGCAAGCTTCAACCTGTCAAAGAGTCTTAGCTATTACCCTGCAGATTCTGAACTTGGAGCAACAGGGTTATAACGGACATGTCTTGAAAACGTCCACTGGTTGAAATGAAGAATAGAGTAAGACAGGGACTTACAGCTGCAACACTACGAGAATGCTTCTGTTGGGCTGGGCTACTGCGAATTTATTGTTTAAATTTAGTTATGTTATGGAATATTTTGTTTTCTCCCATCTATGTTGATTGAAAGTTTTGCTGGGTATAGTAGTCTGAGTTGGCATCTGGGCTCTTTTAGCATCTGCATGATATCTGCCCAGGCCCTTCTGATTTAAAATTATGGAATGCTTCATGAATTTATGTGTCATCCTTGTGCAGGGGCCATGCTAATATTGTCTGTATCATTCCAATTTTTAGCATACGTGCTGCTGAAGCTGTGGCAATGGTGGCAGAGAAAAGGATGAATTCTAATTTTTGTTCAAAGAAAGTAATGACCCAATCAGCAGGATGCAGAAGATGAGAAACAGCTGAAGATAATTCTAATTCCAAACTGAATGGTCAGGTAGACATAAGTGCCATTAACCAAAATGAAAAATATGAGAGGAAAAGCATTTGTTGTACAGCATGGCATAAAGAGGCATGTTGAGGAGGAAATTTCAGGAAAAATACTGGGTGTAGTTTGATGTGATATGTTAGAAATGTCAACAGTATTTCAGAGAAGAATATGAGCATGCTATTCTTGTGAGGGTAAGGTTAGTTATAAAAGACTTGGGGCTTTCCTCATTTGTTCCTCTTATTCCATTTTAAAACCCTCTAAGATTAAGCCAAAAACTCAAATGTGAGGCTTTCTTATTTGTCAATCTATTCACTGCAAATTTACATGCTGTATCTTTGGATAAATTAAAAAAAAAAAAAAAAACTTTCTCCACTAGGAATTGCACTCATTTTAAAATATTCAGAACAAATTTATGATAGTTAAGCACTAAACAATGACTTCTGTCTCAGACTAGATAGCTAAACAGGGCTTGCCAAAGTCAAAAGTCCATAGAGTAATAGAACCTCAGTCTGAACGCACACATTCTGACTTGAGTCCATTGTCTTAAGCACTGTATTGCTCCCTAGATGCCAACCTAAATACAAAAGCAGGGGAAAGCTACTGCCTGAAACCACAACACTAACTGCATATATATACAGTTTGGCTTTTATATAGGCTAAAAAATAGCAAAGAAGCTCAGCTTTTCCAAAATAAACATGCAAAATATAAAATCAAAATCATTTATGTTCAAGATACTTTAAAAATTTTAAATTAACTTTAGAACAATGCTTATCAACAGTATATGTTTGTGTCATGTGCCACACTTTTAGTTAATGAAATGAATAAAAACTGGTGGCACATATCTCAGCATTCAGGCTGAGGCAAGAGGATCACGAAGTCCAAGCAGCCAACTACAGAGTGAGACCCTGAGATCAGCTGACTGATAAATGATTGATAATAAAAAAAAATTAAAGATATTCTAGCTATTCCAGAGGTTCTGAGTTCAATTCCCAGCAACTACATGGTGGTTCATGAGCATCTATAATGAGATCTGTTGCCCTCTTCTGGCCTGCTGATACACATGCAGGCAGAATACTGTATACACAGGAAATAAATAAATCTTTAAAAATTAAAAATAGATATTCTATCAAAGAGGACGTTTGATCGTCACGGTTCTTCAACAGAGACTATTACTAAACTCACTGAGCTACCTGATCCTATGAATTTCTAAAACCAATAATTCAAAATAAATATTGAAAGTACAATGATTCTGCATGAAAAAAAAAAAAAACCCAGGGACTTGGCTTTGTCCAAGTTTACATTACATATGCTAAACTCCTTTGGATAATTATCATTATATTTAAAAAGAAATGTATATACTTAGAAAAAGCAAACTTTAAATAGATACCACTTTTTGTCAGTTTTTAAGTTGCAGTAATAGTGGTAAAAGTCATGTTAATTTCTAAAGATAATTTCATCCAGGAAAAGGTGAAAGTTCACTATGACAGTCAAAACAAAGGCAAATCATTTTGACTTAAGAATACTTAATTTTTGTACTATGCTAGGCCACAAATGGACACTTCCTAGGTAGTTTCTGAGGAAGAAAACTAAAACTGACATTTAAATAATTAAGTATAAAGTAACTAGCTGCTACAAAATATCTCCCATTTTTACTTACTTGTCACCACCATCATTTTCTGCTCTGAACAAAACTTGTTTATATAAAAGCAATAAATTCTAACTTTACAGACACATTTTATACAACTTATTATCCTACTTATCCATTGTATTTGCAATGCAAAATTAGACAGAGACTACCTATGATTTATAATTGTTTTAAAACAGAAGAGCTAAGAGCACAACTTACAATCTGTATGACAGGTGACTTGTCCACTGAGCATGAAACCCGAGCTCAACACTGCCCCACCATGGCTGCTTTAATAATTCATTCCGTGGATGTCATTCTATCTCCTGACCAAAATGTCAACTGGGTAAGAAGCCAGCTTTCATTAAAAAATGTTCTCTATCTATTTAAATCTAAAACCTTTTACCATGTTTTAATTATTTCTCCTGCTTTGGGCATAAAATAGACAATTGTTGGGAAACCAAGAAATGATTAAGGGTAGAAAAGATGTGTTTCAAATATCTTTGCAACATCTCAGTTACACAAATTAATATGTTCCTTGAAATGTTTCTATTATTATATAAATGATGCCAGACTGGAAAGGTGATCCATAAGTCAACAAAATGAATATAATATGTAGGTAACAACTATGGACTTTATTTTTTGTTCAAAAACTGCAAGCACTAAAAAGAACATTACTGATTATATAATACGATGCAAACAACTAAGGACAAGAGGGGCCTAGAGGGGAGGCCCAAAGAGCATCCTGTGAACGCTAGAACCTCAGGGAAAGCAATGCCCTCTGCTGAAACCCGACACCCAGACAGCAGATCAACAGGGGCCATTCGCAATGTCTTACATGCCAACTGTAGAAGACTGAGCTATGTTTCCTAAGAGGATAGTGCACTAAATCGAATATCAGTTCAACAAAAGATCAAATTTAATCTTGGAAATGTCATAACAACAAAATACTCAAATTAATATTGGGAAAAAACAGGAACCCAAATATTAATTGTGGCCAGATACAAAGATTCAGATTTAATGATATGTAATGTAACAATATATGTAAACAAAACAATTAAACACCTACTACAGGAGAACCTTCTACTCAGAGCCAATTCATGGCGTCACCCAGTTTCAGGGTTTAGTTCAAAACCACCAAATTATGGTAAGCGGTCGGCAGTTTCTTTCAAGTCTGTTAGAGAAACACCATCTTCTTAAAATTGAGTTCTGTACTAGAGTTCTCTTTCTCATGTGATCAGAAAGTCTCAGCTCATTCTGAAAGTGTATTTTCCACCAGTTGATGTGTTTTGAAGAAATGCAACTGTCTTAGCTACTTTTCTATTGCTGTGATAAGCCATAACCAAGGCAGCTTACAGAGGAAAGTATTTACTGGGGGCTTGCAGTTTCAGAGGGTGTGTCCATGACCAGCATAGCAGGAAGGAAGGCAACAGGCAGACAGGCATGACACTGGAGCAGAAGCTGAGTGCTTGTATGTTATCCACAAATAGGAGGCAGGGAACAGAGACAGAGAAGGAGGAAAGGAGGGGGGGAAAGTACGGGGGTGGGGGGAAGTGAGAGAGAGGTAGAGAGAAAGACAGAGAGAGAGTGCTAACTAGGAATGGTGAGGGCTTTTGAATCCTCAAAATTCACCCCCCAGTGACACACCTCTTCCAACAAGGCTGTGCCTCTTAACCCTTCCCAAATATCTCCACCAACTGTGGATCACCAAGTGTTCAAACCTGTGAGCCTGTGGAGCCATTCTCATTCAAACCACACCTGCCACTACACCATGCTTTCTAACCTAGTGAGCAGGTCCACTTTAGTTTGCCATGACACAGGCCCAGCATTTCACCTTGCTTGCTCTTAAACGCAGAAATCTAAATGTGAACTTGTCCAAATGTATTCCCTAGGCACACAGGACAGAAACTGTGGTGCTCCATTGGTAAAACAGTATCTTTATCCCTTTTCCATTGGTATACCTGTACCAGATACACTAAAGGCAAAAGTATCGTAATTTTAAAGAAAAACTACTCAAGTTTTTCAAATAGATGCAATTTTCAGATTCAGAAGCAGAGAGCTGTCCAGCAAGCACTGGCAAGCATGACAGTGTGAAACACTTTGCCCCGGTCCCAGTGGCTGTAAATGTGTCACTAAAGCACTGAGAGCACTTGTACCATGATCTTTAGCATGCTGCACCAAAGCATTGCCGCACACTCGGTATAACCTGCAACCAAGCTAGCATTAACCGCGTGCCTGAAGAAAAAGACAAACAGCGGCTCACTGGAGTTGAACGATACAGAATTTGGTGGATACTATGACAGAGATTTTGTTAGTATCCAGTGTGGCTGAGATTTGTGGAGATGTTACATAATTTAACTATCAGAAAACTTTTCAGTTTTTGTAGTTAGCTAAAATGAAATGGGTGAGGGCACAGCTCAGCGGAGAAGCACATGCTTAGTATGCACTAGGCTACAGCGAGAAACCCTGTCTCAAAAAACAAACAAAAAAGTGATAGTTCACTAAGTGGGAAGAATAAACAGTGGGAAACAAAAGATAAAGCTGTGGGCACTGGGGACAGATGAGTGGTTAAGATCTCTGTGAGGGAGAGGGTGCAGGCTGCCGAGAGGAAGTGTGAAAGCCACTAGAGAAATCTAAGCAAGAAATGATGGTGGAGTGTTGATATAATGTTTTTGTGAAATGTATACAATTGACCCTTGTTCACTCAAATGCTGATTGCTCTACTCCACTATCTGGTTTCAATCCGGACATTGCATTGTGATGTTTATTCTATGCATCACCTGTCTCAAGTTTGTGTAAACGTGCCACCATTTGTTCTCTGTAATTGTCAATTAAACAACCAGCCACTGCTGTGCAATGGTGAGAATAGGTGGGACATCCTGGTCCGGAGGGGAGGAGAAGGAAGTGAGTGGGAGGAGTGGGAGCAGAGATGGGAAGGAGAGGCCTGGGAACCAGGAGGAGAGATGAACTGGACCTCAGATATGACTAAAAGCAAGTATAATGTGGGAAATCTGAGTGGTAGGAAACAATGCAGGTTTGGAGGTTTAAGATGGAGTAATTATTGCCCAACATTGTGCTCTAGGTTAACTAAATACATCCTAGTCTCTGTGTGGTGATTTGGGTATACAGCTGGTTTAGGAATAACTGCTGATTAACTAAAAGGTAACTCAATAATAAATATTAATAGTCAACAACAATGGAGGAAACAGGTTCTTTCTGGAGCCCCTTCCGGGCTCCTGCACACCAGCTGCTGAATA